GAAATGCACAAGTGCATTGGATGCCCTGAAAACTGCCCAATGCCGCATGATCCGCCAGTCCACCCACTTCACGGAATGCCTCAATGAACACTCAGGGAAGTGCTGTTCTGCCTCCCTTAATCAGTAATTTATTTGTTGCCTGTTTTATGTTTCATGTGTTGTTTTCTGTACTTTTTGTCTTCTGTTTATTGTTGTTGCCGGGTTAGTGTTGTTAAGCATTGGGGGCAATGCTTAGGATAAGTTTGGGTGGGAGTAATGTAGTAGTAGTTAATTGTAGTAGTTTTTGGTAAGGTCGGTCAATGTCAGGACAATGTCATTTAGGTCCATTAGGTTCATGTCTGGATTGACTCTGTAATGAAAATCTTCTAAGGAGCTCTCAACAGTCTAGGATGATAATGGTTTTGAAAAACAATTTTGCTAAACCACTTTTTGATACCAAGTCTGATGCATGAAAGGAGAAAATGGCTGACACTCATTCACACACATGAACAATGCCACTCGTGGAAGTGAATGCCTAGAACATAAATCTTAAAATTCGGCATGACTAATCCACTGTTGTGAGCTGTGTCTAGTTCTGAGCTACAAATTAGATGAGAAATGCCGTAAATCTGAGACTTCCTTTGTGGTACCCATTCACAGCCTGCTTGCTATTGAAAAAAAAAAAAAAAAAATCTTAGGGAATGGATCAACCGAAACCTTAGGGGTAACAGCAAGGAACCACCACAAAAAGTTCCAAACTGTTGGAGTAATAAGGGTTGAGGTATAAGGCAGTGGAGAGATAAGGTTGAATAACACCCCTGTAGGTTGGTCCATTTACATCCCATTCAAAAAAAAAAAAAAAAAAAAAAAAAAGATTTCCTAAATAAATAAAGCATAAAGGCTGTGCAGGAACTCCAGAATTGAAGTCTTAGTAGGTAAATCGAGTCAAGTAACTTGGGCAAGACCAAGTCACAAGAATGACCACCAAAAGTTTAACCGGTTAACTTAGAATGGATTGGTAGGTTTGGCATGAACAAACACTTGTGGCATATGCATTCTAATTCCCTGTGAAGGTTGGTTGTTTGACTCTGGATTGCAGAAAAATTTGGTATCCTCAAATGTATGTTTTCTTCACTTGAATCTGAGACGGAAAAGTTGACAGCACCTATCTGGTTATGTTTAAGGTTGTTGCTTGTTTAGTGTCATTTACCTGAGTGGGAATCCTCACTCAGGGGAATAAGTCAATCTTCAATCATTTTGTCTTCCCTAGTTGTTATGTGCAATTCTGAAAGTACCAACAAAAGTTTAGTGTTTTTTGCTTAAGGACAAACAATTCTTCCAGTTTGGGGGAGTTGATAATGGTTAAATTGTTACATAAAAGCATCACACTTAACTTTGTATTTGATGAACAATTGGGGGTATTTCCTAACATTGGTGCAATTTACTTAGCTCATTTTTTATATTATTGTTAGGGAAGGACCGGACTGAATAATTGCTGAAAATTGGAAGCCAAAGGAGCAAATTATGGACTGCTGAGGCAAGGGTGCTGAGCTGGACGAAGAAGGAGGGTCTTAGACAAGAAGTATCTTGTCATTAATGGCCTTGCCTCCTCCTAAAGGCATGCTTGTCCCCCAGCCGCAATCCCAGCCACCACTGCTGATCAATGAGAGCAAAACGGCTGCTGCTGGAAGAGAGAAAAGGAACGGCCAAGTTGGATTGCAGGCTCAAGACATTGGAAGGATTAAACAACTCCAAGCATGGAGAGTTTCTCATGATGAAGACACCGGTTGCAGAGTACTATAAAGAAGGGGAACGGCACTCTCACAGGGGCATCTCTCCATCAGTCTCTGGTTAGCTTCTTAGTTGCAAAAACATTCAGAAAAACTCCAGGTAGGAGACAAGAAAGAAGAAGAAGCAGCAACAACTCAGTGAGGAAGCTAAGTTGAAGAATAGCAACCCAGTTTCTTCTTCAGTTCCACGAGTGGACCCTTTCACTCCCAGGAGCGACTCAGAAACTGCACAAGCTTCCTTCTCATCTCTTGACTGTTAGCTTGAACTTTATTTATTATGCATACTTCTATGATGTCCTTCGATGTAGTAGATGTAGCATTTATTCGTATGAGTAGCTAAACAGTTTCCAGGGGTTATTCTCCTCAACTGATGTTGTAGTTGTCAAAGCACTGGTTTTGTTCATTGTTTTATGGTTGAAAGTTTTTCTACATTCATTTACTTGATCACTAAATTGAATGCATGCTAGAACTAAGGGAGATCTGGAAGGATAAACTTGGTTTGGATTGTTTCAACATTAACTTATGACATAGAGGTAATAGTCTATGGTTTTAACTAAGATAGGAATATACTTAGTTAACATAAGCATTCTTGAAGGCCTAGGAACTTAATGACTTTGTAGCCGGAATCAACCATTGGAAAATAGGTTGTTAAGGTTGCAAAGATGACTCTAGGAAAAATGGGAACTGACTTAGAGTTATAAGTGAGCTGAATGAACAAGAACTCAACCATTACTGTGCTAATAAAACAACTACAACAGCAGGAAGAGGAGAAGAACACCCCTGGCCCCCATTCCCCTGAGCGACTGTTTTCATTCTCCTGAGTGACACCTTGTTGACTGACAGTTTTTCTTTACAACAAATTTGGTAATTAGCTGTCCTCGTGGGACCGACCTAGCTTCCATTATCTACAAAACTCATAATCCAAGCTAGTAATATTTATCTTTTTTTTGGTGAACTCGGCAAGCACCAAAAATCCATTTGCGTTTTTTTTTCTTTATTTTTAAGAGAGAAAGTGAATGTCCTTTGAAGGAGTGCTCATCCATTGTATATGATCAACACCTTTAGTAGCTAATTCATCTTCAGTAGTATCCTGTTTTCCTATTCACAAAAGATTAAAAGAAAAAAAAAAAGGAAGAACGGACCATATATACAAAATCTACTGTCAATAATTTATCCAAGTTCATCAGAGTAACAGCAACAACGGACCATATATACAAAATCTATTCATTCAATCTAATCATTGGATCCCAAAAACAAAAATGTATATGAATTTTAGATTTTTTTTTCCCTTTAATTGTTATAGCAGAATAACTTGAATACATCACTTTAATTGATAGTCAAACACAATCCGTTATAATGAAAGACGGGTAACATTGATGAAGGCTACTACCTGGAAACATTTTAAATCCAACCTAGGTGTGATGTTAGCAGCGTTTTTGTCGGTCCTCGTCCAAATCCAGTAAGGAATTTGCCGATTCTGCCTTGTTTCTTGGCCAGCCCCTCAATCATGAAACTCTTGTGACGGCATCTATGGTTGCTTCTGCTGTTTTCTCAGCAGACACACTAGACGAAACAGATTTCATACAATGTTGCGACATAAATACAATGAAATGGAAGGATAACTGAGAGTGATTTTTGGGATTAGATGTGAAATTCAAATGGTGGATTTGAAGCCAAATTATTGCCATCAAATGTAGTAAATCAACAGATTTTAAATCTATATATAACTCTTTGTAGATCTAGAATTTAAGTTTCTTATTTGGATTGATTTAAAGAGGAAAAAAAAAGAGAGAGAGAGAGAGAGAGAGAGAGAGAGAGAGAGAGAGAGAAAGAGAGAATGATTCCATAACCATGATGCTAAAATATAGCCCGTTAGTTTGCTGTATACTCCAATAGTCCCAGACAAAGAGAATTATTATCTCAAAAAAATTAATATACTCCATTATTCCCAAATCCCAAATCAGGAATGATCTAAATGAAAAAAGAAAAACACACTCATATAAAAACACAAATTGTGATTATGAAAGCAGTCGGACAAAGAAATAGTTGGAGGCACTCATCAATTCCAAAAATTCTTGCCCTCTGAAATTGATCGAATGCCAAAGATAAAAGAACCATCTTCTACTGTTGCAATTTGATATTGAAGAACGACCAAATCATCAAGTCTATCTTTTCGAAGGTTGCAATCTCATCATTGATTTTGTCCTCCACCGTCGTAAGAGAACCGTAATTGAGAAGAGAAATCGAACCGGCAGCAGACAACAAACCAACACCAACAGTAACACTAATAAAAGAAAGACAGTGAACTTTAGCAACAAACAGCAGTAACAACAGCCAAAAAGAAGATCAGCGGCCACCAGCGGCAAGCCGAACGAAACAATGAAAGCCAAAGAAGAAGCAGACGGATGCAAGCCGACAAAGAAGAAGAAGACGGAAAAAGATGATGTTTTTGGTATTTGATCGTGAAATAAAAATGGGGGTTTTGAAACACACAGAACAAAGCATCCATGGCATTCATTTACAAATAAAAACAAAAGAGGAGAAGGGTAGGGGTCACGAACCTGAAATTCCTCCGTCTGTGCTCCCCCGCCGGTGATGATGAACCCAGTAACATATAGGGGTCGGAGCCAAATATGAGAGGAGAAGTCAAGAACAGAGAGCATATCGGATTCTTTATTATGTTAAAAATTGAATTTGATTATCGGAGCTCCCCTACATTTAATTTCTACATTGTCCTTAAAGTAGTCTATTGTACTCCTACAAAAAGAAGTAACCAAGGAGCTACACCAACATCTTAATGTGTGAGTACAGTAAGAGCATCCACACATAAAAATTCAATTTACTCAAATTTAATTCCCACAAAGCAGCTACACAGTAAGTTCAACTTAAATAAAGCTTAAAGCAAGTAGTTAAAATGAACTCCAAACCCAAATCACCAATCATGCAAGGAAATCATTCAAATCAAGAAAATAATGGAACGTTTTCTAAGCCCAGTAGTATTAAAAGTTCCAGCACCAATTCAACACAAATAAACTTCAAACTAACCCAATCACCCCACTCAAGCAGCAATAAAAATGATACTTCTAAACATATACAGAAGAATATAGTTTCCAACTTCCCTGAAAAATGTTCTTTGGAATTGGATAACTGAAACTGCTAGAATGTAGGTGTAGGCCGTCTACAACACCAACAATTTAAGAGATCAGCGCATGTGCATGTTGAAGTGGTCTGATGAAGTCACGGAAGTCTTGTAGCAGCAACGAAGTATTCCAGAAAAGGGTTTGGACTTCAGCCGTAGAGCTCTGGATGCAATCAGTGACGGCAAGCTCTGGAATGGCAGCAGCAGAGGCACGTCCGCAACAGAGAGCACCAGAATTGAGGAAAACGCCGAAAGTAGAGCGTGTTGACGACGAACAGTGGTCCAAAAAAAGAGCAACAGCGATCAGGGATGAGGAGGTGATAACTACTGTTGACGGCGGCAACCAGCAGTAACAGCTGGGAAGTGATTGGTGATGGTGACGGACGGCAGCAATCGGCGGTAGCTGCAGTTAATTGGAGTGGGACGCAGACAACGGTAGCGGCAATTGACGATGATGCTGGTGACAGCGGCAGCCAGATTGCACGAACCCTTAGACAACGATAGCAGAGCAGTAGCGGCAGCAATCTGGGTTCGTGCAATCTGGCTAAGGGTTCGTGCAATCTGGCTGCCGCTGGCTAAGGGTTCGTGCAATCGGAAGATCGAGATTGATAGGAAGAGAACAGAGTGGCGGACAGTAGCGGCAGCAACTGGAGAATCGCGATTGATGATGGTGGCTATTGATGGATCGACAACAACATGGACAACCAACAACAGCGACTTCAACGGCAATGACGGACGGAACAATGATTAACAGAAGTCACCATCATGATATTATAAAGTTGATCGTGATATTTTTTGCTATTTTGAAAATCAAATATGAAAATCCCGTAGTGAGCGATTGAATCTTGATTTGAGGGATTTTGTTGATGATTTTACCGATTGTGCGGAAAAAATTGAACTTTTAAAAATTTGATTTTATTAACTAATGGAGAAGATAATGGGATATTTAAAACCTTTATCAAAGTTGATTTTATTTTAAATACCCTTTTCAAAATTCAAATCAATTGTAATAACCACATACTGTAATTACTTTTTTAACATTATTACGGTTGTAATTTTTCTTGTGCATAGAAGCAGCCACGTGTCAAATATATATGGCTCCTACCGTAGAAGTGTTGAGAAGTTTTGGAGGGAAAATTTTCATTCTGGAGCTGACATGTGTCCAAAATGTTTGTTATTTTAAGTAAGTACACTAGATTTGCTAACTCGGCAGCTATAAGTATTACAATCGGAATCCTACTAGGAATATTTGATAAAAAAAAAAAGAAAAAAAAACAGGAATCCTAGTAGCAATAAGATATTACCAAAAAAGGTAGTACCTTTGATATCATCCTCTCTATATTTATTTGGTATTTAGCGAAGCAAGTTAGGAATATCTGAGGATAAGATTCACCCTTTGGAGGCTAAATATCCCCACATAGGTCATCATCACTCATCAGCATCCCGGAATTGAACATTGCTTTTTTCCACCGCCAATGGCCGCCGATTGGAGGTCGACTGAGGTGCAACAAGAGATGATTAGGCAGGAGATATTGGAGAGGATGAAGAGGGCATTAGTGAACCGTTGCCATTGGTTGTTGCCCACAGCTGTAGGCAAATGTAGTGCTGCACCACATGACTTGCCTCAGTTGGAGGAAGCTATTGCCTGGTACGAGGAGACGGTGTTTAAGGAAGCCACTATCCCCTCGGATTATTTGAGGATCATCTCTACCAGGATGCAGACTTTCGAGACTAGATATCCCGCTACTCCCCCGCCCTTTTCTTCTTCTTCTTCTATGCAAATCAATGATGTAAACCACCATTGTTGCGGCAACATTCATCGTTTATTTGCTCATCTCGATATTAATGACAGTGGTATGCAATACTAATAATTATTATAGCTCGTGATTGTGTAATATTTAGAATCTATGCGATTGTTTCGTTATGCATTTTTGTGATGTAATTTGTGTCCGCCAGCTCAAATACAACATTTTCGTTATGCATTGTTTCATTATCAAATTTGAATATTTTTTTAATACAATTATTTCAAGACGGAATGACAAATGGAGTACGTCCTAATTCTCATTTTCTAGGTAGTGGCATAAGATGTGTTACACAAAAAATGATACGGTTTCGTGGAGACTTCGTGTTAATTTTTTTCTAACATTTTTAATCTATTTTGGTCATGTCTAAATCATTAATTTTTTTTTCTTAAAACTTCTCACCCAATCAAATATGTTGTAAGTATCTAATTTTACAAAGCATAGTCATAATATTAAAAAAGATTAATTTCAAGATAATAGCTAAAAGATAATTCACTTTTCAAATGCTATAACTAATCTGCATTGTTAGTTTCAGAATAAAAATGGTTAAAATGTTGAGATATTTTTAATCATTTGTAGCCATTATACAAGTTTAATAAATCAAATAGTATTGGTTTTTTTAAAAGAAAATTAATTATTATTTCTCAAATCAATACCGATTTTTTTCAAATAAATTTTCAGAAAAAATTATCAAAAGAGAGCCTTAAATGATTTAAAAAAAATTCAGGCGTAAAATATATATATGTTTTAATTTCAAAAGGTGAACAATATGGGATTTCACCAATAGAATTAACAAAACCATTAATGATCTTCTGAGTAAATGTCTTATTTAGTGTATTAAATGGAATTAATACAACATGTTATCTTACTCAATTTTAATATAAATGATTGTGTCCATTGTTGAAATATTTACATTCTTTTCTGGTTGCATGTTGTGCACATGTTGTGCCAAAACATATATTAGTATCCAAAATAATTTATTAGTTTTCTTCCAAATAGGCCCTTCCCAAGTCAAAATTATTGCTTAATTGTTATTAAGGTGGATTTTTAAATTAATTTCAAAGTAATTGAAACGACAAAACTAAATAAATTATTTTCGATATTAGTATTTGTTTTGGAAATAACAAAAGCCTGAATTTTTTTTTTTTGGTATACCATTTGCCATAAATTAGAGTAGGCCCATTTTCTGACTTCTCAGAGAAAATTAGTGTGTCCTATCTATAAAGAAATCAACTCAATTACCGATGGTCTAGCGAATTTGGGAAGTAGAGAACAAGTACACATGCAATTTAGTCAATCTACACTGCTACGGAGATTAAAAGGATTAGCTATATTGGATCAACGTGAAACAGCTTATATTCGAACATGTAAACACTAATCAATCTATGTACGAAATTGATAAATAATTAATTTAAAAAATTTATAAATTAATTATTATTTTAAATAATATTAATTTAAATATAATAAATTTATTAATTCTCCAAATTAATAAATTTTGTTAGTCACAAGACTTTTAATTTATAGAAATTCTACCCCATTAAAATCAATAAGGTAAAAAAGTTTGGGAGTCAAATTTATGTACAGATGGCAGAAGGGATATTAATGATGACATGGATAAACGTCCGTTATCTAATCCCTCTTTTACACTTCGCTATAAATTGCAACAAAGTAGCCCTACTTTCCTTTTTTCCCAGAATGAAACTCGCAATCCCTTTGTTTCATCAGACAAAAATTACAGATGGTGTTGGAAAAAAGTGCGCTATCACCATTGAGATATTCTGTTGTGGTACGATCCCAAGCTAATACAGTTAGCAATTGTTTGATCCGACGACCATAAATTTTGGGAGAAGAAGAGAAGACAGAGCTTAAGCGAATCAAGGGGGGGTCAATCAACGAAAACCCAATAATCAGCTTGGATTTTTCACCGTTTCCTGTTTTTATAGATCGATTAACTTGTTTGAGATGGAATGAATGGAAGCCATTTCGGGGAAAGATGAATGAAAAATCGCCGATTACTTGTATGTAGGGATATTATTTGAGAAAGGGAATTAGGATTCAACTTAGATTGAAGTGATGGTGGTGGAGGATAATGGTGAGGGAGACGAAAAAGGCAGTAATGGTAGTGGTTTTTCATCAAAGGGTAAAACTTTGGATTCAAGTTCTTGGAGGGAGAGAGGGGCCTCAACTTGCTTGACGAATTTTCGCAGAGATCTGATGGCAGGGGCAGTCATGGGGGGCGTTGTGCATACTATTGTTGCCCCAATAGAGAGGGCTAAGCTGTTGTTACAAACCCAGGAAAGCAATGTAGCGATCTTATCTGGGCCGCATAAGAGGTTTAAGGGCATGATTGATTGCATTGCGAGGACTGTTAGAGAAGAAGGGATTCTTTCCCTGTGGAGAGGTAATGGGAGCAGCGTCATCAGATATTACCCTTCTGTCGCTCTGAATTTCTCTCTTAAGGTAACCCACTTAGATATGTTAGCTGTACTTAGATATGTAAATTTCTCGATGTATCCATTTCGATTTTTGCTGTATGATGTTATATAAATGATTAAAAATGGTTTCTTTGCAGTTAGGGCGCTCTTACATTTTCAAACTAGCCATACTTGCAGCATTTATAGTGTGACCTTTGGATTGTTGGATTTGCATTTCTCCATTATAGTGTACTGTTACATTTTATTGCGTATTTGTTTCTTGGATTTGAAATGCCTTCTCAGATAATTAGTTCCAATATCATCCAGATTGTTGTATATCTGTGGCCCTTTAGTTGAACTTTCAAGAGATGATGATCTATCCTATGAAGTTTCTTTGTACGTTCTCTGAGATTCATTGTCTTGGTTACTGTTGAAATGGAAGGAGAAATAAGTCTAAGCTATTAGAATTTGATAATTATGCTGATGAAGATCAATCCGAGTTTATTACGATCCTCTAAGTGTCCCAAAAAGGTACTTTACCATAGACTTCATGCCTTTGCTTAGGTACCGCTACTGATATGTTTGTATGCAAATGTTAGACTAAGTTTAAATAGGCAAGTTTTCCCCTTTTATAGCTGTCTTTTAAACCAAGTGCACTGATGAGAAAAACTGCACGTTTTTTTTTTCCGGGATAAAAAGGTAATTTGAGCAGGTAGAAAGTGAAATTATTCCCGCAATTATACGAAATCAATGCAACCATAGAAAGTTGATAGAATCTTGGCCAGTATCTTGCTAAATCAGTAAAGGAATAGAGATGTTTCCTTATTTGTCAAAGCGTTCTTGCTTGACTGATAATTTACCCTATCTTCTCGTATGTTTCTCATGTTGAGATTCCAACGCTGTATATACATGGGAACTTCTTGCAAATTATTAAATTTTTACGATTTGCCGTTAGTAGTGCTATTGCAAAGTTTTCTCTTGCTTCGCTTATACAATCTAAAGTTTTGCATGAAGACAAAACTAGTTGGACGTCCGAGTTGCTTTTGTTGCTTCTATTCACATAGATATCCTGGTGAAATATTGATCTTATTTTTTGGATTTTCCCCTTAGTTACTGCATAATCAAAAGTAATGCTAT